CTACGCAAAAAGGGAAAGATAAGCTGAACATAAGTATTTAAATGAACACCGTTTGAAAATGCTTCCAATATTTTGTTATGTGATCTCAATATATTTTTACACAATGATTTTTTAAATAAAATTGTTTCTGTTTGAATTGTGTGTGTTACTAGATATACCGTTTTCTTAAAAAAAAACACCTTCAACAAATTTAACTAATCTTTTCAATTAATTGTTGACCAAACAGTTTTTAATTTACGAACTCAAGAGCTGGATCGTTTAATAGGTTTACTCCGTTAGATTTATTTTTGGGCATGTGAGTAAAATTAGATTTGGGGGCATCGAACTATCATATTAAAATTAGAGTAGGTGTAAAGTAGCAGAGGATTCAAAAATGCGAATCGTAGAAAAACACACCACAGCTAGAAAATACCACTCGTCGTTCCTGCTTATATCACAATAATGTTAAGAATGACAGGTTATTTTAATGTTTGGAAGTACGGTACGAACATTTGTTTAGGTTATTAATTGTGATTACTCTTGCTTTCATTCGTTACAATTGGCTTAATACAAGACGACTACCGCGAAGTATAGCGGGAAACGATTAATTCTATGATTGAAAGAATAGTTTTTACACTTGCAGCAATTGCAATCGGTCAACTACCAAAAGGGTTGGCAATCGAGAAGTGTGGAGGGAGAGCAGTTAATTGGACGATTGAACCGATAATTCTCACACTTTCCGTCGGCTGAAATCCAAAAGGCTTGACTACCTACAACGAGAAATACGTACAGTAAAAACGCGTTAAAAATACGTATGGTATTTTTAAAGCAGTGATGGTTGCTACACCGAGTTAAATACCGAGAAGAATATTAGTAGAGGGAACAAGAGATTAGGCAATTGATCCAATATTTTCATTCTTCAATCAGTACAATCGATTGTATACCAGATAAATTGAATCGTTTATTTCAGAAACCCGTCAAACGTCAAAATCTAAAACATTCTTTAGTGACAGAGTATTGTTCCAGGAGGATAGACACATCATTTAGTGCATATTTATATGAAAAATATTTATTTATCAACTCTTTAATAAAATATATATTTTGAAATCTGAAAAAAGTGAGAGACTTTCTCTCTGTTTTCTCGAAATTAGGAATTTGGCTTTTGTGAGGTTTCTGAAATAAACGATTCCATGGACGGGTTTCTTACAAGAATCAAACAAGTCCAAAACCCAAATTTCATGTTTTAAGATTTTTCTCCTAGTTATTCCCAACAACTAGCGTTATCTGCTCGGGCAGTTTCTTTCGGCAAGTGCTAAACACATGGAAATACATTAGGCGAGGAAAATTGACAAATTCATTACAACTCATGTCTACTCTAAGAAGGTGCCTCGTAAAAATCTCGAATTTGGTCTAGCTTGGTTCTTGTAAGAAACCGTTTAATTAATTACAGAGAAGCGGAAGAATGGATGAAGTTTTTTAACACACAACATCGAGAGATGGATCCTCAGTGGAAATTATTCAGGTACGGTCATATAAACTTAAGACCAAAAATACAAATTTAACGAATAAAATTAATCTCAAACTTAAAGGCGTCACTCCTATAAACTAAACAACTGAGCTCGAAAAGTACTTACTAAGTCACTGACTAGGTTCTCTGACGTCATCATCAGTTTTGTTTCACTGCACAGCATTGGAAGATCCGTTTTCAATGACATTTAAGAAATTCTTCGGATTTTTACTTTGTAGTCTTACTGCGTAAGAAAGGAAAGTATTGTAATCGTGGGCAGAAAAACGGCAAATTTTTGACATAAAAACTCTTATTACCGGGCCTTGGCAAAGAAAAAGTAGAAAAATTGTCACCCCAGTAAATGTTTTTCTGTAACACTTAGTGCAGTCAGAATCCATGTTGTGGGGGGTTCTTGATACCGAAAAATCGATTGACGGCCAAATATCTGTCAGTCCCATCAGAGTTTCGTTAAAATCCCTAAATTTTCAAAAAATGCAAATGTTTATTTTTTTCGGCGTGCACCTACAACTACAATGTTGAAGATAGATATTTTTTCTTCAATAAAATCTATTATTCAATGAAAGAACTTAAAATAAGGACATATACTTTTTCGAAAACATGATATTTTGCTGCGTAGTTTTATGTGAAATATGTAAACAATTTTTAAAAATTATTCTCTCAAAAATGGGTGTATATTTCTCTGTAAGTTTTTTCCTCGTTTTCAATGGCCTGCCTGGGTTTCTTCTACTTTGCTGTCTATATTAAAATACCTGTTTCGGAATTCGTTCCGTTGCATTATTTTCATGTAGTTCCATGTACGTGTTCCATGTATCATTCCCGACTGTAAGGTTTCTTATTTTCACATTTTTGATTCACTTACTCTGGTGTATTTCTTTATAGATCTTAGAAATTACGTAATTTTGTTTCTTATGCCTTAATTTAATTGATTACCTTAATTTTGAAAAGATGTTAATGTACTTTACCTTATCGTCAATTTAACTGTATAATTTAAGGTGGTATACATAAAACATATATACACATGTTCAAACCGTGGTTGATATTTTTATTGTTACGTTTTTTTAGATTATTCTGTTATGCAATAGCAGAATCCGAAGCCACTAAAATGAAAACTATATAGGATCAAAATGTTTAACATATTTTTTTCATTAAGCTGTATTTCTGTAAGCATTAAGAGTCATTGAACTTTGAATGGAGCCTAAGTCATTATCTCAGACTCCCAGTAACTGCCCATGTGATATACAGCGCAGGAACGACCTGTTCGCTATACAGCATTACGTTGTTTCCATCTTCGGTATAGTATGTATGTAGACACCTACGCTCCCTGCACCAGATGTAGTTCACGGCGTAGCTGTCAGCCCTGTCTATAACCCGATATACACAACCACAACCCTACGCCCACCCGAAAATGCATTAAAAGCAGCCAGGTCTAACAGTACCATCTACGTACACCAGTACATTCTTCATTAATCAATTGTTCGTGTTTTCTCCTATTTTATTTCTTCTAAACTTAGTGCGTACAGTTAGTTTTATTTATCGCCAGTAAGTTTAAGTTACATCTAGACCAAGCTATGTGAAACAGGCCGTTTTTTTTTCATCGGAAGCCCTTCTTCCTATTTACATAACTTTTAAATCAAACTAGGGGTTAGCAAGATCGAATCGACCAGACGATTGCACAATTCTCAGGTACAAGTATATAGAGTATGAATAACTGGGGGTTTTATCTAAACAAGGTATTAAAAATAAATATTTTCCCTGACGATGGATTGAATAACACAAATAATAACATTAATCAGCAATCGTCTTGTTTTGTTACGTGCAAACGTTGCTGTGTCAAGTGAAAATGTGGTGATCGTCTTTTAAAACGTGCAATCATGCAAGAGGCACGACCTCATCTTTCCGATTTCCATGGAAAAAGTTTGTAAGATTTACACAAATTTAGGTTAGATAAGGATCACAATTAATGATGCGCCAATCCTAAAGTTTCAGTGGGAGAATTAATTGTTTTAATTTAAACTCTGCGCAATATTCATGAGCCTAAGAGACGACTCAATACATACAAACCGCTTGAATATCAAAATGAACTGTCTTAAACTGAATATTAAATGTAAAAAAAGCTCACTCCCAATGACTGTATCAAAGAGTCTATTTAGGTGTGATGAATATATTGTTTAAAATAATTGAGGTATATCGGTATATCACTTGTGACTTAAAAACTGTTTGTTTCTCGTTCGCACAAACTCACTGAATATCATAGTTTAACAAAATAACTTATGTACCACAGAAGAGTGTCTTTATTCGACCACAACGGAATACTGCAGCTGAAACGAAAGAATTCGACAAATTAATTTATTCGTACAGTGAATTCAACTCCAGTGGAACATTACATATACAAGTTGGAACACACGTTCACAAGATAATATATAAACAATTATTGTTTATTATTATTTTTGAATGTAGAGAAGTGCATTAGTTGTTAGTGTAGTGTATATGTATTACGAAGTATAACGAAATGGTTCTTTAAAGTTAAATGTTTTCATTGTGAATGTTGAAATACATTTAGCGAGTCAGGTGTAACTAACTTTGTGTCTCAAAACATTGGATTTTGTATAATAGCTTCTCATTTGAAATGTATGTCCTTTACGAAAATTTCTTCCGCTGAAGATGTCTTCGAGTCACTCTATGCAGCCTTATTATCATGCCACACGTATTTGCAAAACTAAAGACTTATTATGATCCCTGTGTCTGACGTAGAATGACAAGACTTCGCAATTATTAAGCAATTCACAACTGTCTTTTCTAGTTTATCAGTGTCTTCTCTTGTTGAAAGCGTATATTGCATTCTAAGATACATTATTTGCTTCGCAAATTAACATATAATTATTGTTATTTAGCGTGGCATACTTCAAAAGTCATTTGAAGTTTCATCAAATATAGATATGAATATTTCATGTGTATCCCTCGTAATATGATAGAACTTCAATATCGAAGGAAAATTTCAAGAAAAAATTGCAAGCCCTTTTCTAGAAAATTAAGTTTGGATAAACTTCCCTGTTTTGGTTTCATTACACCAGGAATCTAGTAACAGAAGCTAGCCGACCTGGGTAACTAACCGACCACGAGTTTGCTAAGGGCTAAGCTCCTTAGCTGTCGCGATTTGAAAAATCATGAGTTTAAGTCCCATCTCAGCCATGGCATGGTATGCATTAAATTTATGACACCAATAGTAAAAGTGACGTTTTATTTTGGGTGTATAAAAATTGCAATCTATGACAAACACGCTTTACCACGTGTGTCGCACACTATTTTTAGATAGTCTTACAGATTTTTATTTTACGAGTATTAATTCATTTTTGAAATCACTTAATTGGGTACCATGTTACATTAAGATCAGTTGTAGCATATAACACGAAAGTGTTTTCTTTTCTTTGTTGTATTAACAGTTGTATCTTAACATTTCCGCATCGTCTCACGTTTTAGCAATAGGGCTAAAAATTTAACTTTTTGCATGCTGTGCAAAGCCTAAAACGGTTTTCCAAGGGGTTGTCTAAAATACTTTATTATGAAACGAGTGTTAAAACTGACATTTCATTTTGTGAGTAGAAATTGTCGTGGAACGAGGCCGATAGGTCGAGTCAGCCTTACTAATTTTCTTTTTATTTTAATTCAAGTATACAAATCACTTAATTGGTTACCATTTTAAATGAAGATCAGTAGTATTAGGTATTATTCGCGCAACATATCTTGAACAATGACCTTGCTTCCCCCTCTCTGACACAATAAATAGTTGAAGGCAAAAGCTCCCAGCCAGCACTGATGACAACATTCCAAACACATCTTCACTGGCGCGAAATTGAAACAATTTTATTTTGAAGACGAGAACTTCTGTCCGCTATTTTCTCCAAAATATCTAAAGAAATGACCAAATCAGATAAATATATATTACAGGAGATACCTCAAACATCTAAGAAAGTTAAGACGCAAATTATTGAGGAAGTTGCGAAGGCATAACTGATTCTCCAGAGATTGGCATTGCTTCATAAAATCTAGTGGCCGATTTCGTAACTAATACCCCCACTCTATCCGCATTTCTTCAATCCATCGGTTAAGAAAAGTTGCGCGAGTAATATGGTCAGAAGAATGTATTTTGTTTTCTTTGTTCCAATGACGGTTTTATCTGAACATTTGAACCACAACTCCCATTCAGTAATAGTGCTAAAATTACAGCACACCCTAAACGTAACTGTTTTTACGACTAGCAGTCTAAAAACATCTTTATCCCTTCCAACTTCATTAGGGCAAAAACATAATTGTGAGGGGTTGTCATATCTTGAAGGAGGGGTAACAACGAAGGCGACAGAAGTAGTAGACAGGGAAGAAGGCAGAGAAGAAAAAGACCAAGAAGACACGAAGAACAAACACGAATGAATACGAGAAAGAGGAGAAGGACACAGAGAAGTAGACGTTGTAACCAGAGAAGGAGGTGAGAAAATGAAAGGGGAAAACGCGGGAAAGGAAAAAGAAAGAGAATAACTGATATGTAGTGTAAATGAGTGGATCTGAGATAATGTAAAATAAAATTAGGTGAGAAATTCTAAAAGCGAAGACATCAGCCACCATCAACCATCAGAAAACGCCACCGAATTTATAAATTGAAATAAACATTCATTTAACTTCAATATTGCAAAGTACATTTCATAGAAAACCTTCGCCTCGAAATTAAAAAGAAAATAAATATTTGTTTTGTACTGTCTACAGCATAGCATACGTTGGTTTGAAGGGTTTTACACATAAATATTTAGGTCGACAAACACTCAAAAAGTCTCTTTTACGGTTGATTCGGTCCGTTAATTTCAACTTTAAAAGTAAGTATACAAAAAAATGTTTCTCCTCTCAATATGAATAATCCATTCCACTAGTTTACTTTTTGTTTTTTATGTATTTTATGCATACAATGTGATTTCAACTTATCATCTATTATCTCCCTTCTTGACTAGGTACCTCCAGTTGAGACAATAGAAGATGAACATGATTAACAAATCGATCATCGCTGTTATCGTCTTGCTGACCTATATTTCCTTATGCAGCTCCGCCAACATCCTCGTACTTTTCACTCTTGCTTCACGAAGTGTCCATTTTTGGCATACTCCTCTTCTCAGCGCACTTGCAAACAAAGGACACAACCTCACAGTCATAAGTCCAGACGCACAAAAGAAGCCAATACCAAATCTCACAGATATACAAATAGACGGCATGTACAAAGACGTGTCAGGGCAATGGGATTACGAAGAGTTGACAGACTCATCGACATTCTTCTGGATAACCGAGACATTTGTCTATTTTGAAAGGGCGTGCACGTATGCCCTTAAAAGTAAAAGCTTCAAACAGTTGGTGGAATATCCGCCCGATTTTAAATTCGATTTGGTTTTAATTGAACCAATAGGAGTAGAATGTTTGTTGGGTATTCTTCCAAAATTTGGGAACCCTCCAATCGTCTCAATCAGTAGCTTTGGCTTGCCTCAATGGGTATTAGACATTTCGGGCACGTCGGCCAACCCATCCTACGTGCCCTACGCCCTTTTGTCTTACGACGATAAAATGAAATTTCCGGAACGGATGAACAATTTCTTTTCGTATTTGTATTCGTATATTTTATATTATTATAATTACTTACCTAGTATGAATAGAGAAGCTAGGAACTATTTTGGTTCTGAAATTCCCTCGGTGTATGACACATTGCGTAATGTCAGTATAACCCTATCAAACTACCATCCAACCTTCAATACCCCCCTTCCAACAACCCCGAATTTAATACCTATTGCTGCAATTCAGGTGAAAGACCCTAACCCTCCTACCAGAGGTGAGTAACTTCTTATTTAATAATATTTCATAACTGACATCAAGCTTGCAATACTAAAAAACACTCAAAGAAATAGATATCTAGATGTAAGGGATTCTAATAAAGGCAACAAATGTTCCTAAACAACAAATGTTAATAAAACAGGTTTCGTCATGATCGCGTAGAATCATTCGATAAGCAAGACACGAAAAAAGCAAAACTGGTAATAAAGGTAGGTGTTAGAAGAAAACAATTGCACAAACATCGCACAACACGCAGAGGGGATCATAGTAAGCACATTTCGCACAGTGAACCACGTTGCTATGCTCTCAAAAAATCGTATGTCACCACATTGAATTGTGTGGTTTTTTTACAATTAATTCTTCGTTTTGTTTATTGCGCATTTTGTTGTTATTGTGCAAAAAAATCTATGTTATTACTAAAATCAAGCTGCTTGTGCAAAAATAAAAAGAGATAACACAATAGGAACAATGATGCAGTACACAGCTATTCCTAGGTGGTAAGTGAATGCAAACATGATATTTTTTTCAACTGATAGTCCATTAGTCTTACTCTACGTGTTACAAACGAAATGCCTTGATACATTTTCGACGATTTTAAAGTTCTATTTTGCATAACAACATCCGCCACAATTTGCCTCAGTGGCTTTGATTCCAGTTTGCAGTATTGTTTAATACCTCGTATCAATTAACTCTAGCCAATTTTTTGACGAAAAAAGTTTCGCTGGTTAGCTTTAAAGATTTGCAGAAACACCAGTGTTGAGCGTTTTAATGGGTTGAAAAGTTTCTCCAAATCTATATTACACGAGCATCTCAAAATATTAATGTCAAATGTCATAAAAATTTGTGTTTCAAAAAATATATCGAATTAATATCTGCTAAAAATTAACACATATGGCAAAAACCGCAATTCCTGGAAAAACCTACATTTGTTACGGTTAGCATCGTTTTCATCAATGAAACACGCCACGTACTTATTACGGGCGTCGTAAATTTTATCTCACACAATATTATCATAAAAATAAAACGTTGCTTGTAATAGTTAATTAAACGATACAATAGTTTATTTACGATCTTTTTTATAATTTTTATGTGTCGAAAACAGCGTTATTTTAAGTTGTTTTTCTATAATTAATAAAAAAAATTTTAATGAAAAAAGTTTTTAAGAGGCAAACAGACTCGAAAAAAAATTCTGGACATGTTGCATTGCCCATCTCCGTCCATAAATATTGCTGTTTTATTTAGATGCTCAATATTTTGTAGTTATACGATATTCCACGAGCATCTCAAAATATTAATGGTCAAATGTCAAAACTTTATGTTTTCAAAAAACATAAATAATTAATATCTGCTAAAAATTAGGACATATGGCAAAACAAGTTCTGAAAACCTACATTTGTTACGTTGGCATCAGTTTTCATCAAACGAAGCACGCACGTACTTATTAATATTTTTTCTCACACAATATTATCATAAAAATAAAACGTTGCTTGTAATAGTTAATTAAACGATACAATAGTTTATTTACGATTTTTTTATAGTTTTTACGTGTCAAAAACAGCATTATTTTAAGTTTTTTTGCCATAATTAATTAAAGAAGTTCAAATGTAAAGAAGTTTTTAACAGACAAACGATCTCGAAAAAAATTCTGGACATATTACATTGCCTATCTCCGCCCATAAATATTACTGTTTTATTTAGACGCTCGCTATTTTGTAGTTGTGCGCCCGGAAATTATTCATGTCAAAAAATATTTTTCTCCCACAGGATATCCAAACTTTTCTAGACGAAGCAACAGGAGGAGCTATATATTTCAGTTTGGGAAGCAACGTACGGAGTGACAAGTTGTCTTTGGTGACGAGGAAAGCAATTCTCGAAGCTTTCGCTGAGCTGCCTCAAAGAGTATTGTGGAAGTTTGAATCAGACCTGCCAGATGCGCCGAAAAATGTGAAAATCAGCAAATGGTTGCCGCAAAATGACATCTTAGGTAAGTAATACGCATTGTATGTGTGGAACAACGAGTACTTGGCAATTTACTTAGACACATCCAAAAAAGGTGTGGTATTCACCCAATTTCACAAAATGTAAAATTTCAACGCGTGCGCACGCAATGTGAAAATCAGCAAATGGTTGCCACAAAATGACATCTTAGGTACGTAGTAATTATCAAGCGTCGAAATAGAAGCCATTTGCTAATTGACGTGATTCCTGCAAGCCTCTCTTCTTTGAGTTTGGAATGCTATCATAGCCGTGCCTATTTATTTACGAATTAGCGTTTGTTTTGGTTTTTTTTTTTGTAAAAACTGACGGTAACAAAACATTTGAAGATTATACTAAACAATCACAATTTATTCACAAGTTTAAATGTCAAATAAAATCTCTTCTGAGCAATAAACACTAACGTGATGTTTATTTTATTTTAGCGACGTAACTTTGATATATTTAGACATCAAACGTTGACGTTAACACGTTCACAAACATGACATTTTGATGATGGTTGATCACAGACGTAACTTTTGGGACCGCAAGGCCTTCAATACGGACAGGCTCAAGTAAAAGACGGCCTGCTTTTAGACTGAAGGTTTAAGCGATTGTAAGAAATATTAATTTCTTAATACTGTGTCTGAAACTTTGTGGTAGTTAATACAATAAAAGATTAAAAACAGCATATTCCAGAAGAAAGATTTTTTCCTCTTCGGTAGCTATTGTAAAACTATTTCTAAATCAGTAAAAGTAATCAATTCATTTAGGTTTTATAATAATCTTAATTTCTCAAAATTAAATTAAAAAGGTAGATTTTTGCACTATTGGTTACTATTCATAGACTGATATATTCGAATCTTTAAAAGGATATTTTTATTATTTAAGGTACTAACACTACTTGTGTTTGCTATACACTTTTATAAAGAAGGTCCGAATAAAAGTTATGCGGGCGGGCATACACTCAGTTCCTTACGCTATTGATTTATGTAAAGCATTAGTTGCTGTTAAGTATTACAGTAGAAAACTAAAAATGCTGACACGGTGACCGAGATCACTAAGGCAGTAGTACCGTAACGATCTCGAACCGAAGGATCGTGGGTTCGAGTCTCGCCACAGGCATGGTTGTATTGAGTTCTTCCTTTCACCCCCTATTATCATCATATGGTGTCATCCTAACAGTTACCATACCGTTATAAGCAGTAGTAGTCGCTAATGACCTAGAAGTTGATGTGATCTTAAATAACAAAAAAAAAAACTAAAAATGTCTGTAAGAAATATCGTAATTCAGCTTCTGGATCAAAGTCCCACATCTCGAGCAGATGTCCTGTTTAATTTTTACAACCCAGGTTTCCCAAGTCATTTCCGTTGATCTATTAAGCAAATGATGACATGGACTTTTGATCATGGACTGTAAATGTAGCTTCACTATGAACACATTTTGTTGTGCTCTCTTTTTGATGGTTACGGTAGGAGGCTGATAAAAAGAGTTGTTATTTTGTTAGCAATACAATGAAATCAAATCTCCAGATTGTTTGCCGATTAAAATATGTATTATAATAAGAGTAAACATTTGGTTTCTAGAAGTTTCCGACCAAGCTTCTAGATATATTTATTTTTAATTCAACTGTACGTATGTAATTAATAATGAGGTAGAGATTGTGATGTTCAAGAAAACGTGCGCAGATTATTCATCTACCCCATAGGCAACAGTGTTGAATGATTTTGACGATAAACAGAACCGGAATAGCGGCAACAACAGTTAACATTGCAGTGCCTCAGACCGGGAGGTCGTATAGGGTTCGACTGTGGCAGGAAGGATTTTCCACACTAGCTATATCGCTGGGTCGAATTAAATCACTGTCGAAGATTTCTAACGACTGGCTTATTGCAATGCTTTCTAGACCCATACAACCCTCCTTGAGTGCTCCCTTGGAAGCTCAGTTTATAATCCCTACTACTCCCGCATTCGCCTAATGTTTATCGGAAAAAACACTGCAATCTGTCCATCAGAGCAATCGGCCACAAGAATTCTCCAGACAGTTACTAGGCGCGGAATGGTAGATTGTTTGATCGATGTTTTCGGACACATCAACTGCTGTGGAATTTAGTTCCACTAGTGTAGTGAATGTTTTATCGCGGGAGGTAGTGCTGATTTCTCGTCTGCGAAATGAAATCCCACCCCGACCACCATGTCGGCTTGCATGGTTTTCCCCATCAACGGATCTCCCTACGGCGGGGCACTACCCCACCAAGGAAGATCTCTAAGCTCTCGACCGGTCTCCCGGCATGTGTGGTAGTGCAATGCATACATGCGGTGTGTGTAAGTAAGAGGAGAGGATAGGATAAGGAAGAGGAATGAAAGAACGCGCGGTCCGTGGTCCATTTGTTAGGGTACTGCTCCGGCATTCGCCTGGTGATGATCGGAGATACCACGGAAAACTACCATCAGAGCAATCGGCTTCTAGAATTCTCCTCCAGACCGAGGCTGAATTCGACCTACTTATCTAGCTAGGGTCGAAAATTTGCCACCGCCCGTACTCGAACCTTAGAACCTCCCCGTTAGTCACTGCAGACAGCGGCAGTGACCTAAGTCAGCCGGTTGGTGTGTTAGGGTACCAACTAGTACTAATGTATTAGTTTCTCGCTACTGCTTACGCAGAAGAGAGAAAGTTATATAGTGCTGCGCGGAAAAAAGGCGAACTTTAGGCAGAAAAACGCATATTACAAGGCCCAACGAAAGAGTGGATAAATCCAGTTGCTAAATTTAGAAAAAAAATTCTTTAACTCTTGGTGTAGCCAGTCCATGTTTTTTGGGTCCTTGATACCCAAAAATCGACTGACGGCAAAACGTCAGTTCGTCCGTCCGTCCGTCCGTGTGTGTGTGTGTGTGTGTGTGTGTGTGTGAACAAGGCTAGCGGCTAAACGGTTCAGCCGATGTTCGCCAAAATGGATATTCCTTAATCAATACGGCTGGTGTCACGGCCCCTTGAATATGAAACCGAAATTTTATTTTAGGTTGTGTACTTTACATGAAGCCCTTGAGACATTCTCACAATTTTCAAAAAAATGGCTCCAACGTTTTTTAATAAGCCTTATTGTTGCATAGTGTGAAAGACGTTTGAGAGAATGGTGCATGTCTCATGTTCGTTGAAATCCCTCATTTTTCGAATATTGCAAAAGTTCAAATTTTTTTCGGAGTCTTTCAACAACTGCAATATTAAAATCAGAAATGTATTTCCTTAATGAAATCTGTTCCTTAAAGAGACATTTTGAAAAAACGTCAAGTATATTTTTTCTAAAATTTGAGTTTTACAAAAAAAGCTGGCAGATGTGTTAATTCAGAGAGAAATTGCGGTATAAATAGTAGTACGTAAGCAGTACTGAGCGCGAGAAAGTATGTGCTGTTGTAGCACCACTACTTATTTTTTGATTTCGACTATTCCAGCGCATCCCAACATTAAAGCGTTCGTCACGCATTCTGGATTGCACAGCACTCACGAAACTATCATACGAGGGGTACCCGTAATTGGTATCCCTTTCATGGTAGACCAGCACACGAACATAAAAAAGCTGGTGAAACTGGGTTGTGGAATCCAATTGGAATACAAGAACCTCAGAAAAGACACTTTGCTTCGCGCGCTTCGGGAAGTTATTAGGAATCCAAGGTAAGTGATTCTTGATTGAGAGACAACATAATATTTTAATCCAAACTAACAAAAAACCGATTTCGAATTTATTTACTCAGAATCAAAAGTATTTATTTCTATTTAAAATGACACAATGTATTCTAACGCATTAGTTCGATCTACAAATCAACCTTGCCATGTCTTCCAATTTTATAATTTCTTTTTTGTTGTTTTCTTGAAAATTTAAGAATTTTTAGAGTAATTCAATCGCAGGTAAACATGTTCGTATACGTGTTCTAAGATTAAACATATCTAAACTTGTACCGAGATTAATTAGCTCTAGAGAAAATGGTTGTAATATCTTTATTATGCTATTTATTTTCAGATTGTTGTAGATATTTTAGAATAGTTAGGATAAGTGTTATTTTATAATATAAAAATTATAAACAGAAAAGAGGATTATAACCGAAAATTCGACATTTGTGGACGTCAATTCATTTTGTAATGTGTACACTTAAAAAAAATTGATAATTATTTTTAATTAATTACTAGCGGACCCGACAGACTTCGTCCTGTCAAAAAGCTTTGTAATTTTTTTCATACAGTTTCTTTTTCTCGATTCAATTTTTTTGGTTAAAAAGATCAGAATGCATGAACGATTGGTTGCGCGGCCAGCACTAATTGAATTAATAATTCGTTTGACATCATCTCAGCAAGCATCTTCCTCAATTGAAAATCATGCTACGTTTTTGTAAATTTTCTTGACTAAGTGATTGATTACGATCTTAATGATTTAAAATTGAAGATTAGTGACTTCATCTTAATTTAGGTGACAGAACATAAAACTAATTATGATTACACTGCTATAACATACCTTTTGAAGTTGGCATAAAATTTTCCTCGAACTACCATTTGGTTGACCCAAATGAAGTCCTTTGAAAGCAATTAGGTTATATTGTTGGATATTTGTCAAAAAGTGTATTGAGTCTGTTCCTATTCTTGAAACATCGAGTACATGGCTCTGTGGTGGTTCCAATAGTATCAATTTAACTTTATTACCATTTGCGCAACACAATCTATTAGCTTCGTTTTTATATTCAATGCCTTACAATGTGAGCAACCCGAGTTGCATAAAACCAATAACAACACATTGGTAATTACTGTAGTTCATATTGACACATCGTAACTGAAAGCAGCTCGATTCAAACTTGCGCATTTATTGTTGATTAGCGCTCGCGCTTCATAAACGCGTTTGTGATTCCGAATTCTTTCACGTTCATTTTGGTTGTCACGTTTCTTTCGTGCAGCAATGATTAGATCGTAATTAGTTTGTTTGTAGCATTCGGTTCTTCTACCCTAAATTACTTCGTGTAATAGGAGGCATACTATATTATACATTATTTTTGGTTAATAGTTCGGAACGCGACATTAAATCTCCAAACGATGTATTCTGTGCTCCAACGCACACACGCATACTGTTTTGACTGATATGAATTGAATTTGATCTTTGGTATAACGGTTAATCAAAGGTGCAAATTGGACTCTTCTGACGTTAGAAACATACTACATTGCTTTAAACAACAATGAGTGATTTGTACAATAGCTATACAAGCTCAAATTGCCTACGTATTAGACAACGTTTGTATGGGAAAAAGAAAAGGGCTGTTTTTAAAGGGGTTTCTCCGGCAATTATTC